CAGACAGACAGAGAGCCAGCCAGTCAGCCAGCCAGCCAGCCAGCTTAACAGACAGACAGACAGAGAGACAGACAGACAGAGAGACAGACAGACAGAGAAACAGACAGAAAGAGCTGCACAGGGAGAGAGGGAGAGAAAAGGAGAGAGAGAAGAACTAAGGGAAAATATCTATCTACTTATTCTGATAAAAGACAATACAAACTTAGTTCCTTAAACACATTTCCCCTCATTTGACTACAAGCAGAACAAAAACATGACAAACAAAACGTCGCCAGTTGAAACTAACACATCAGGAGGCTGTAAGTCGCGGACAGCACCCTCGTAGAACAGGCCATCGTTGAGGTAGAGGACTCGTAGACCGTCGCGGAGGTCGCTGGGTTCTATCACACATGACCGTGGTTCTGTAGGCATAACAGAAGAGAAAGGGTTAAATCAGAATGCAATGTTAAACAAGACTTGCCTCATCAAGATAACAGATGGTAAATTACAGCTTTACTGATCGTCATAGCGCAATTTAGCTTACAGTGGCAATTATACATGCTTACATAATTATAAATACATACCTACATAAATACATACACAAATACATATATATAAATGCACAATATTACACCAATACAGAACAATTTCACAAACATGCCATTGCTGGTTGCCGCTGTGCAGTGTCCTCTTTCTGACCTTTTAGTTTTAGTAGAGGTTTTACGGCGCTCGCAACTGCATAAGGTCATATGAGCGCCAGAAGATTAGAGGTGTTACAAGATGAGTAACAAACATAAAAAAGAAGAAGGGGAGATCAGGATGATAGATGTTTGATAGGAAAGGAGCAAACCACATCAGAGCACCCGCCAACCACCCACTTTTTGACCTTTGGCTGCTGTGTCTTGCTCAAGTTCAAGAACACACCCCAATGACTACCCACCTAAACCCCGAGTCACCGACACTTGTTTGTCATTACTTCAAAAATTTCATTGAACTCACAACTCACTTAGCCACTGGAGCCCATAAAAGTGAGGAGTACCGTTCCTGAAACATTTTTCCAAACTTCTGATAATTCCAGCATGTATCTCTCTGGTTACACCACCCTTTCGGAGATGTAATCAGCATTGAAGCAGCACAATAAAGCTCATATAGCACCATGACTGAAACCAAGTGTGTTACCCTCCCATTCAAACAATAGATAAATTAGGAGGCAGGCTGTTTCAAACCTGTAAGCCATGACCAACCTAGGTCAAGTAGGCCATAGCATCTCTGAAGTTTGATAAAAATACATAATAAATTACCCCCCCTCCGAACCAAACACCAAATTTTTAAAATCACATCTTCTGCATGCCCACAAACCAGCTACTAACAAGCCACAACCACAGACTACCAACCACTCACCCAACCACCTACAGCTTATCAACCAACAAGTAACCACCCTTGGCCCCCCCAAAAAAAACCAACCACCGACTACCCAGCCCACGGACTACCCAGCCCACCACCCACCAGTGGTCCATCCACCACTCACCAACCAACCATTGCCCACCAAATAAGACTCACTACCCACCAACAACTCACCAACCACGGACCACCAACAACCAATCAACCATCCACTTACTGATCAAGCAACCACAGAGAGCCCTCCAACAAACCACTCACATCCCACCACCCACATTCTTTCCACCCATCAACCTCCCAGTACAAATTTGTGAGGCCTGTTAACAAAACGAGTTACTTTTCGTACTCCACGAAGGGAGATTTCCACCCAAAATAGACATTGAAACCAAATTTGTCGATTTTCAATTGATGCCACTTTCTTCCAAGTATAACATTTCTTATTTTTTCATACTTATACAACATACAAATTCCACATAAAGATTTATCATATCCTTCTTCATAGGGATAAATTCCGAGAAGTAACTCATGTTTTTCAGCTCTTTGAGAAGCTCACCTGGAGTCGGGGGGCGGTCCTTCACACTGCTCAGTGGGGAGCTATTGCCGTCACTAGAGTCACAACTCTGGTGCCGCTTCTTCTTCCTGGTCTTGCCCTTACCAACCTACCGAGACAACACAAGACACCTCTCAAGTTTTTGTTTTAGCAAGAATTTTACTGCACTTGCAACACAATTACGTTGTATACGTGCTGAGGATTAGAGGTGTCACAAGAGAATTTAGTTTAAGAAAGAGTTTTTAGTTTTAGTAAGACTTTTACTGTACTTACAACACAATTAAGGTAACATAAGTGCTGAAGATTAGAGGTGTCACAAGAGAGTAACAAACACAATAAAGAAGGAGGGATAGGATGATAGATGTTTGATAGGAAAGAAGAAGCAAACCACATCAGATCACCTGCAAATCACACGTGAGAGTTTTACTGCACTTAAAATAAGGTTTGGGAACCATTTCCTCTGTGAGGCCTAGCCAT